GGAAGCATTTTTATGATCACCTCAGGAAACCATTGTATTCATTGCTTCTTCATTTTTTCCCACTTCTATCTGCTATCCAGGGAAATGATGAAATGTTTTATTTTTCTCCACTAAGTTTATATCACTCTCTGTATAATTCACACTCTGCCCTTTCATTCAGTATTCCTGGGGGTTTGCAGCAAACCCTTTCCTTTTTCATCTGTTTTACTTTATTGGGAGGCATTGTGGTGTGGAGAAGACATAGACCGTACTTCATCTCATAATAAGTTTGTAACCCTCTTCAAAATACTTATTGTTTTTCTCAGGCTCAGTTTCTTTTCTTTATCTGAAAAATAAAACATCTACACACCTCATACAATTGTTGTAAAGATTAAGGGATAATATTGTATGTAGCACAAGTTTGTCATGTCTAGACATGTAACTGGCACGAAACAGATACCTGCTGATTGTTATTATCAAACTATGTAACTTCTAACCATTTGTTATTTCTGTCACCCTCTACCATGCCTGTGCCTTCATCTATGCTAGTGCTGTTGTAGCCTATGCAATATCAGGCCTGGCCTGATTAAACGCCCTTGAACAACTGCAGTGGCAATGTTGAACGATATTACACAGGGAGTATGATAGTGCCAGACAGATGGAAATCAGATTTAATATTACTCTATACAGGAAGGTTCTTCTTCCACAAAAGAGACCTTAAGAATCTCCTGCCCATTGTCAAGGTAAACAAAAAAATTTCCCTCTCTAAAGAGAACACAGCTACTAGAAATGCTAACCATTCAGCTAAGAGGGTCAGAGCTGTAGCTTAAATTACCATTCTTTTGAATCTAAAAGCCAAAAATAAGAATGCTCTGTGATTGCTAATGGGCGCAAGCATATTCTAACGTACATCAGATAAGGACATGCTGGGCATTGAAAAGAGACTCAGATTGGATCGCTGTCTGTCTGAGAGTTATCGCCCGTTGAGTCCACGGTGAAGAGGGGCTGGAGGCTGTCTGACCCTCCTCTGTATTTGTTATGTTTTCTTCATTAAATGTTAAAAATAACCAAGGAGCCACTCCATGAATTTCTAGATCACCAACCCAAGGAGATTCTACCTGATTGTAAATAATTGTAATTCTGGCAGCTAGTATGGTTGCTCTAGTTTTGCACTATATTGCAACTTTAATACATTTACTCATTTTTATTACCATAAGCTGTTAGCTGTTCTTCACCATAATTCATTCATTATTTTCTAAACTTAATTATAAATTAAGGTTAAATTATAACCTTAATTATAAATTGACCTGGAATAGAAGCTACAAGTCAGGAGTGTTTAATTGATATTGTATCCTAGAAACTTAGTTAGGAACCCATCAACTGGGGTATTTGCATATTGGATGTTCCAATATAGTATTAACCTGAGCTTTAACAAGCCTAGAGCTGTACTTTCCATGGAGTAGTCACTAGCCGCATGTGGCTACTGAGTACTTACTTGTTAAGTGGCTAGCCCACATTGAAATGTGCTGTCAATTGAAAACACATACCAGATTTCTAAGTCTTAGTTCAAAGGAAAGAATGTAAAACATTCTTTAATAACTTTTGATATTCATTTCATATTAAAATCACAACAATTTGGAGATATTGTCATATATTTCTAAAGTTATTTTTGACTGTTTTAATTTTTAAAGTGTGGCTACTAGGAAATTTTGAATTCTGTATGTGGTTTGCATTGTATTCCTACTGAATGGTTCTGGGTGAGAGTTTGGAAACTTGTGAAATTCTGATACTTAAGCTGGTAGATGATGATAACTATGGCTTATTAAGATTGGGAAAAGTTGTTGCAAGGTTTGCTAGAGAGGGTGAGGTCTTTAGGATGTACAACTCACTAAAGAGTCAGACAGAAGCAGACTGGAAATGTCCATTCAGTAGACCCAAATGAAACTAATTTGAGCAACCCTGTTTATGCAGGGAAATGCTCGTGGCTTTACTGTGTGGATAAACATACCACGCCCTGTCACTGCAATGTAATGTTGAACTTGTTACTCATCCCTGAAACCTGCCCCCCCAGGTTTCTATAGCTAATTGCTCACAGTTGGATTCCTTTTAAAGTGAGAGTACACTCCCTACATGATATGTTGCCCATGCTGACATCTCTGAGAGTTGCTTAGTTTTCACTACACAGAATGCTCATTTTAGGCCATACGATGGCTTTGAACAAAACACAGAGCATAAAAGATGAAGAGTAGGCAATGCTCAGTGGTGACAAATGGAAACCCCCAGGATCGATACTAGTTATGTTCATATAGATACAAAAGACCTTAAAGACGGAAGGTTTTTAAGTCACAGCACTCATAATAATGATGTATAAATAAAAATATATCAAGCATAGGTAGGTCGACTTCAGGAAAAGATGTAAATTGGGAAGTCAGACTGGCCAATGGAGATTGTGTCCACCCACCGCAGAAGAGGGCTGAGTGTCTTAAGAAGTATAGCTCAACAGAGGAGAGTTAGGATGGCCAGCTGTTATGTTGTAACACTCTTAGGCTAATCGTTAACATCGTTGTCCCTGGAACACAGTGTTCTTCTAGTATTGTTTTTAAAAGTATTGGTGCCATTGATATTTTCTTCTAATTATCATTAAACATATATTTAAGACTTGTGATTTTATCATAATAATGTAGTTGTTGTCAGTAAACTGTCTTTGAGAAATGCTGTATATGCAATTTCTAAGACATTACACCTGAGATCACCTGATACATGGCTGTCTGATATTCCATAAACATTGATATGTAAGTACCATATACCTGTTATTGTGACTCAGTTTTTTAAATCTGTAAAATGGGGTAACAATATCTAAGTGACAGATTTTTATAAGAACTAAATGAGATAATTCATGTAAACTTAGAATAGTGCCTGACACATTCTAAGCAGTTAATATTAGATGATGAAGATGAACTGATATGTACTTTAAATGATCACTGGTCTATGTTCATTTTCATATTTTTAATACATACTTATGAAATAAATCAAATGTTAAATATTTCTTACAGCAAATGACTAATAAATAAAACTGTATTTCATTGTCTGCTTTAATCCAAGAGTATACTTTATTTCATGAACTCCATTCTTATTAAATCCTTTCAGCACATTATAATTGAAAAAATAATTTTCAAAAAATTTATTACTATGTTTACATAGCCATGATTCAAGAAACACTCATTAAATCCATGAATTAAGTAAACTTGAGCAATGTTGCATTAGACATTAGATCATCCACTATTTCCTTTCTGCTCTGAATCTATAGTAGTGGTTTACTGGTAAATGTTTAACACTGGCACTCAGAGGAAAAAAAATATGATTTTAGCATTTACCAATAACTGTGGTATAAATATTCCTACCATGCATGGCCAGTTTCAAACTACCAAGCTGATGTCACTGAATGCAGAGTTAGAAAGAGTTGCTAACAATCAACAGATATAAGCCAGCCTGTACACACCACTCACATAGACACTTAGCAATCTGCTGATTATACATGGCTTCTTATGCTGTGTCCATTCATTCATTATATCAGCGGTTCTCAAAGTGTAGTCCCCAACCAACAGCATAAGCATCACTTGAGAACTTATTCAAAATGCAGAATCTCAGGCCCCACCTCTTGTCTCTTGAAACACAAACTTGGAAAGTAGGGCCTAGCAACCCATGCCTTACCAATGCCTCCATGTGATTTTGACACACGATTAGAGTTTGGACACCATGGCCTTATACCATTGCTATTTTTCTGAAGAAGCAGAAATGCCAAGCTCTAGCATGTGTTAATTAGTTTACCAAGGCTAATCATGTTGGTGTTTCGATTCTTAAAAGCACCTAGTTACGACTCCTGAAATTGTAACTCACATATTCTTGGCATCAATAAAGTGTATTAAACTGATACTTTATTAGGTTGGCCAAAAAGTTTGTGTGATTTTTTTCAATAAAATGTAAGTCACATTTTTCATTTTCACCAATAACTTTATTGATTTGGATATTTTGAGTATGTCGGCTATCTTCCACATGGTATAACATTGATTTTTCTCAATTAATGTCTTGATTTTATCACTATCAACTTCAACTGGTCTACCCGACTGTGGAGTATCGTCCAATGAGAAATCTCCAGTGTGAGAAAACTTCATAAACCACTTTTGACATGTTTGATCAGTCACAGTGCCTTCTTCATATACTGTACAAATCTTCTTGTGTGTGTTTCCATTGTATTTTTACTTTTCTTGAAATAATAAAGCATAATATGCCAAAAATGTTGCATATTTTCTACTATCTTTAATATTAAAATGGCTACACAGAAATTCACCAAATGTGATTTTTTTTTTTTTACTGCATGCTGATATGACAGCTGTCACAATACAGTCTAACAAAATTGTTTCGAATGAAGTTAAAGACAACTAAGTACTGCTAGAGCCATCTTATGGAAAAAACCAAATGAATTCTTTGTCCAACCTAATAATATCGTCTTCAAATATTTCCATGTTTCAGCTGCTATTCAGAGTCTCTGAGAACAGTAGTTAAGTGTTAGTGGTTGTGATTTCTGGTGGCTTCTGCAGTAGAGGCCATGGGCAAATTTCCTGTGCTAAAATAAGTAGATGCCCTGTCGCACTGGTAGACATATTAATCCCCTTGGGTTGCCAGTTGGTTATTTGGAAATTGCATTAAGACAGTTCTAAATCCAGTTATACTATCCACAGCATTCACAGGACGTACTTGTTTTCAGTGTGTTCTGGGGGGTTTGGATTGGTGCAGCCTCTAGAGGTCAGCAGGTACAGCCTAGTACCCTGGGTAGGGTTCCCTCCCTTGGCTGGTGTTCATCCCACTGCCAAAATATTTCCAGCCACAGAAGCACATTCTATTTTTGGACAGGTCTAATTATTCTTCCATATGCTGAACTGAGATCTGCTTTGCTGATTTCACATTAGCCTGAATCCTAGTTGATAGTCCCTTTCCCATCAGCCAGCCTGGCAGATACTCACACGAAGGTCTTTGGTAAAGGAGGCTTCCTTCTTTTGAGTGCTCTTCATGTAACATGATTCTCAGGCTCTTCACCATCCTGCATACTGATGCTCTTAAATTTTTTAACATCTCCCTTAAAATGTGTCACTCAGAAGCAAAAATAATGCTACAATGTAGTCTAATCAAGGCAGAGTCCACTTGTGTGTGGAACACAGAGCTCTGTGGTTACGTCACCGTTGTCAGGAACCCTCTGGGCTCCTCTTGAATTTACAGTCGCCTGCAACCTCTGCACCAAGCAATTACACAATGAGCATCTTACCTGCCCTTTGCTTATTCTGTTGATTTTTAACCCTGAGTGCAAGGTTCATATTTATTCCTGTTAAATTATTATCTTGTTAGGTTCAGCCCCTAATTCTAAAATATTACCTTTTACAATCCACATTGTCATCGAATGTTTCCTCTCTCTCTTTCTCCTATGTTTATGCCTTCTGAAAACCTAACAGCAAGTTATTTCTTCCTCTATTTATTTATTTATTTTTTTTTGAGGGGAGTGTGTGTTTGTGTTAAAACTGTATTTAAACAAGAAATGGTTCTACAAGGACTGAAAAAAAAAAAGAGCCAAATAAAGGGAGAAGCTGGCAGTCAAGAGGGGCCGCAGTGCTGGCCTGTGGTGAGACCCAAGATGTTTGTTTTCCGGAGAGACTCCAGCTGTTTCCCTGACTTGACCTTCACATGTTCCAAGTCCTCCACCTGGCTGAAGGGCCAAGGAACTCCTTCCATGGACTGGGCCTTCTTTTGGCCAATGCGCTGCAGATCCCAGGCTGAGCTTTCGTTCAGCATATGTAGTGTTGTTGGCGCCCATGGGCCGGTAGCCCTGGGCTGATCTGTAGCTTCAACAGTCAGTCCCCAGCCTTCTCCTTCGGCGTTGTGGCATCCAGGCTCTCCAACTTCCTCTTGCAACTTTTCTCCTTCAGGATATGGATGTTGGCATTTGGAGATGCTGCCTGTCCCTGAATCAGTTGTAGAGGAATGATCGCAGCCTTTCTGAGGGGCTCAGCCACTGTGATTGTGCAGATGGCAAGAGAACAAAACAGAGCTAATTCCTTCTCCCCTCCCCCAATTAATTATTAAACATCAAAGCTGGAAACTAGAATAAAGTGTTCAAGTGAAGTACCAGTTAAATATTGACTTTCACCTGCCAATTTTACTTCAGTTGTCATTCAGCTGAAGCAGCCTGAAAATTGAAAATGCTGCAATCACTGTAAATAATTCCTAGGGAACATTTAGAATACCTGAGAGATATTAAATATTTGAAATATATATCCCCATTCTTTGATGTGTGCAGAAGGAGGCAGTTTAAGAATAACATAGAATAATTAAAAAGTTTAGTAATGATGCTGGATTAGATGAAGTATTTGGAGAATATTTATGCTTACTGGAAAATGTTACTACAAAACTTGTTTAATTTTTGCAATTTTCTTTGAGTTAATTATTTTTGTTTATAAAAATTATTCCTCAAGTGACTCTAAATCTATAAATATTCTACATAATTAGAAATGTTTTAAAAAGATACCCTGCTTGCACAGAGTTATTAGCATTTACAACTTAGAAGCTGTATGAAGAAACATATTTTTAAACTCCACTTATGAGCTATGTGATTCTGGAAAATGTGGAGCTGAAATCAAACAACATCTTGCTCACAGACACCATAATTTAATGCAGGAGGGGGATTCTGACATGCTCTCTGATCCGATACCTTTAGACAACCCAGAGAGAAAGATTTAAAAATCTGTTCTAGGTGACACTGGTGAGGGCTCTGGGAGGGGGAGGGGGAGGTACCCTTGTCATTTTTAATAGGAATAACCCTGGCCAGACTAGCACTGCAGGATTTTGAAACAATTTTTAAAGGAATAATGTTGATACAAAATGCCACCAAATGACTCGGCTTATTTTGAACCTCCCCCCCTCCCCCGCCAAAGGCAGTATTGTGTGCTGTTGCATTGCTGCTTACAGGAAAGCAAATTAACTACACGTTTGAGCAGGTGATCAACAGTTCCAAATCTAGTTATTGCTGAGTGAGTGGTCACAGCTTTCTCACAGTAACCAAAATGTCATATTAAACATTTGAAAAATTAGAGATACAGGAAAATCGGAACCTTTGTGTGGTGCTGGTGGGAATGTAAAATGGTACAGGTGCTGTAGAAAATGGTGTGATGATTCCTCAAAAAATTACACATAGAATTACCATATGATCCAGCAACGCCATAGCAGCGTTATTCACGACAGTCAAAAGGTAAAACAACCCAAGCGTTCTTTGATGGATGGGCAGATAAACAAAGTGTGGTATATATATGAATAACTGCATTTGTCTGCTAGGGTTTTTATAACAAAATACTAGGCTAGGTGGCTTAAATAACAGAAATTTATTTTCTTATAGTTCTGGAGGCTGGAAGTCCAAGATCAAGGTGCTCAAGGGTCAGTTTCCAGTGAGACCCTTGTATTCCATAGGCAGAGGGCCTCCTCGTCTCTGTGCCCTCACATGGCCTCTTCTCTGGGCAGACATGGAGGGAAAAGAGCTCTGGGGTTCCCTCTGCTTATAAGGATGCCAGTTTCATGGGATTAGAGCCCCACCCTACAACCTTATTTAACCTTAATTACCTCCCTAAGGGACCTGTTTCCAAATACAATCACATGGGGGATTGAAGCTTCAACCCATGAAAATTGTGTGTGGGTCGGGGGAGGACCATTCAGTCCATAAAAGCATACGATGAATCATTATCCAGCCTTAAAAAGGAAGGAAATTCTGACACAAGCTGCAACATAGATAAAACTCCAAGACATTATGCTAAGTGAAATAAGCCAGTCACAAAAATGACTCCACTTCTGTGAGATTACTAAAGCAGTCAAATTCAGACAGAAAATATTGTAGAACAGTGGTTGCCAGAGGCGGGAAAGGGTGAAATGGGGTCAGTGTTTAATGGACACAGACTTTGAATTTTGCAAGATGAAAAAGTTCTGAAGGTGGACTGCATGATGGTTGCATAGCGATGGAAATGTGCTCACTGCTACGGAACTGTATGCTTTTAAGTATTTACCAGTTTATGTTTTAAAATTGTAAGTTTATCATTTTATGTTATTTTAAAATAACAATTTTTTAAAAGAAAACAATTAGCAAAGCTCTCTTAGACCATTGACGCTTTAGTCGGTAACACCAAATGGCACTCCCTCTTGCTGGGCGTATTCCTCCTGAGACGCATGTAAACACAAGCGGTACGTGACCGCGCTGTGCCATCCGTCTACCAACCAGCAGTCTAGTTCTTCGTTTTACGCTCCTTTCCTGTATTGCCTTTTCAAATGCATGAGACTGGCATTATATCTTCTACATCCATCTTTCTGTAGAATCTCCTAAATTTTCAGTGGGAATTACAATTTAATTTTTCTCAAGTGTTGTTATCACAGTGATGGTAATAAAACCATATATTTACTGAATTGTGGAAAAATCAGCATGGGGACTTCCAAGCTCTAAAAGAATGTAATTAATTGAACAATATTGCTAGATGTTAACTAGATGCTAAACTAGAGTCTTAGCAAGTCCCAGATTTGTTCAGCCTTTGGTCTCTTTCCCTTCCTCAACCAACATACAAATGCAGGGAATGCCTGGGACCTGACACACTAAATATTTGCAGAATAAATGAACACATGTGTCATACACATGTTATAGAAAGAATTCCCTTATTGGACGAAGGGAGAAATCCAATGTCTCAGGGAACCAATCAGGTGTAGACCTCTAAAGAGCATACTTGGAAGTGGTATTGCTCTCCTGCAAGAATGATTCAGTTATTCAAATACAGCTAATAATTTTTCACTTAGGAAGAATTTTTTTGCAAGTATAGCAAAGCATTTAGGAATGAAATTTAATTATCACTTAGTCTTTTTTGTAAAGTAAAAGCCAGCAATAAAGGTATGACTTCTGGGCATTTGTCTTTATGCTTCTGCAAATATTGTAATACAAAAGTTTCAAGATTTGCTAGGCCACAAAACGAGAAATAGTCTATTAGAAAGGAGAGAGTTGGAAGAAATTTAGTTTTTTACATTGTCTTGCATTGTGACTTATGCATAAATATTAATAATATATTAAAATACTGACAAAAGATTAACACCTAAAATTCTGTGCAATTAGACTAATGATTATAGCTATTTAAAAATTATATAAGGGCTTACTACATGCACAGTGTTATGCTGATGGGTGGAGGCGGCGGCATAGGATCAGTCTTGATGCAGCCCTCAGAGAGCTTATAATCTAGCTAAGAAAACCATCCTACACTCTGAATAGCTAGACCAGAGCTGCATGAAGCTGTCTTTCATTAAAAGAGAAATTAATTCAAAGGCACGATCAATAAGAAATAGTCATGGAAAATGTGGGTCTTGAGCAGGACTTGGGGAGATCAGTGAAGTCAACACATAAGTATGAAAAATTAGAATTTATAATTTAAAAAATATAAGTATACAATCAAATACATGTGAAATGCAGGGATGGGACTCTGTTCGTTTTTCCCTGCTCTCTGTGTAAGAGAAATGGAATGTAAAGCAGATTTCCAACATCACTGCCAGTGTCCACCCAACAGACCACTGCGCCATGTGTAGGTTTATTAAAAAAAAAGTCTCATAGACTCTACCCTCCCCAGACGCTGGCTATTCCTCAGAGCAGATGAAGAAATGAAAGTGACAGACATGGGCCAAGCAGCCGAACTCCCTTTAGCCCACTTACTATTGCAGTGTTCACAAATTACAAAACAGCATTGCCTTCGCTCCATCCAATGCTAACTATTAGTGGGGGAAAATACAACAATTTAAAAGTTATAGATCTTTTTCTAGTGTCTAATTTTCTAGTTAATAAAAAAAAGGAGAGAATTGTTAGCTTTTTTTCTTTCTTCTCTCTTACAAGGGCTTTCTAGATTGTCATCTCTTCAGTGTTGCTTTCCTATGTTTTCTTTGGTAACCCCTTGAAATTGCAGCCTAGTTACCTTACGCTTGTTTGTCAGTTAAAAAGGCTAAAGTGGGGAGTCCTACTGTGCTCTCAATTTCTTGTTTTTTCTTACAGCAGACTGCCTCCCACAGAGAGACACTTGGGTGAGCAGCAGCTGGGCCCCTGGAAGCAGGAGGCGGTTAAATGCATTCCCTTTGAACTTGTCTGATCCCCCA